GGGTGTGGATGACAGCGCTTCGATTTTTCCAATTTATTAAAAGCTTAATTCATAAAATTTATCGAATTTGACAGAGAATCAAAAATAAAATAATTATGAGAAGAAACGTTTGGAGAAGAACCCGTTGTGATTTATTAAAAGATAACAAACAAAAACTAACAAATTTCAAATTTCAAGATTTTGTTTATTATTAATATTTTTTCCGCTAAACATCTAAACTTTAATATATGCTATATAAATCATATATCATTCTTTGTGTGTTTTGTTCAACAATTCATAAATAATTTTATACCTCTTATATATTTTAAAAGATGGTATTATAGCACTTTCAAATTTTCCTTTTAAACTTAGAGAAAATTCAATTATAAATTTTTGAAAAAAATCAAATATTCCAAAGTTTCATTTTTTCTCATCTTTATTGAGATGGTTCAATATCGAATTTCACTTTAGACCTCAAGCCTCTAAACAATCGTTTGATACTCAATTATGATGTTTAATAATTAATATTTTTTTTTATTTGATTCTCTCATGTTGTTTCTTTGTATTTTTATTCATTGTTCTTATATTTATATTCGTTTTACGTATTTATAATTTTTGAAAATAAATATGTAAAACTTTATCGTTATCAAAAACTTATAATATTTTTATTACTTTCAAATTAAAAACAATATAAATGAAATATATTTATTTTTATAATTTTGTATTTACAGCAATAAAATACTCAAATAATCTTATATATGTATTACTTTTAATCATTTATATACTTTTATTTTTTAATTTATCTTTTAGTAATTATAAGTAACAAGAAATATAAATAAACATGAATTAAATGAAAGTTTATGATAAAATTTATTGTCAAAGAATTGTTTTGTGTATGAGAACACCATTAAAAGAGATAAAGAAAAGTATGATGTTACATATATTATTTTGGCTAATCCAAAAAAACATGAATTTGTGGAAGAAAACACCCCCTAGTCATTTTAGATGTAAGACTTAGTCTTTATTTGTGGGAAACGAAATCTTCATGCTAAAAAAACTTGAAACCAAACCGAATCAAATGGTTTTTATATGTTTTTAATCTTTTATTAAACCATAAACCAAACATCGAACCTAAACAAATTAAATTAATTTTTTTATAATCTGGAATACAAAAAAAAAAGCTAAAAAAATTTGAACTGTAATCAAACCGTAGACTGGAACAGAATGTTATTTCTACCAACATGTGTTAATGAGACTCTAATATAGTTTGATTCTATTTCAAAATTTTCAAAACTTAGAACCATATAAAACCAAAAATGGCATTCCGGTTTCGGTTTAAACTGGAAATAAGACTTAATAAATGCTCATTACTAGTTACTAACTTACTACTAACATTAACAATGAAATTTAGAATCACAACAGAATTATCTTACTTTATCCGACTAGTTTCAGTTTTTTTTTTGTCAAGCCCATTCATTAAAAACCATTGTTAGCCCATTACAGTGAGGCCTGTTTTTGCTAATCTGTCGGCACAAGTATTTTCCGATCAGGGAATGTATCGGAACAGAGCCAAATGAAACGTTTTAGAGCAAATTCTGATATCTTCGAGTATTCCATGGATCTCTGAGATCGATTCCCCAAGATTGATGGATCGGATCAGGGATTGCGAATCAGAGTTGAAGATGACCTTCTTGAAATTCATGTCTTTTGCTTTGAAGATTGCCGATCTCATCGCAAGGGCTTCAGCGCTCAAGGCTGAAGATACTTAGCACACGAAGCAGAGTGTTCCAAGATGGAGGCGAGACCCAATTTAAAGGTCCATCCGATGCCTGCCATGTCCGAATTGGCCCTCTAGGCCGCATCAGTGAAACCAACAATGAATCCATCCAACGAGGATTTAGGATTCTGAAATTGGATCGAGCGTGTCGATCCTTGGAGTGGAGGGATGCTCGTTTTCGCCAACAACCATTCTCGAGCATCCTGAAGAGCTTTGTGAACGGTTTCCTGTGGCGTGAAGATTCTGTTGCTGAAGACTCTTTGGTTCCTTGATATCCACAAGGCCCAGCAAATCCAAGGGGAGAGGAAGCCTTTCTCAAGTCCGATCGGGGGCAGGGAGAAGAGGAGTTGTGCCTGCGCGATGCCCGTATAAACATTCGTAATTTGAGAGGAATCGAATTCCTCTGAGGTTGCTCTCTTCCATACTTCTCTGGCAAAAGGGCATAAGAAAAGTAAATGGAGGATCGATTCGGATCCATTGCATCTGCAACATTTGGTAGTATCGGTTACATTTTGAATCCGTAATTGCTCTCCCACTGGTAAGGCGCCATGGATGGTTTTCCACAAGAAAAGTTTGATCTTTGGTGGGGATTTCAGCTTACAGACATTACTCATCCACTCCACATCACGCAGTGGGTTAGTCCTCTGACTGAAATTGCTTTCTTCTGATGCAACTATATAGCCTCATTTTGTCGAGTAATCTCCAGAGGAGTTTCTTAGCCATACTCTCTTATCCTGAGCCCCCAATAGACTAGGTTTCAGATGTAAGATACTGTTTTTGTAGCATGGCAGTAGTTGCTCAATTCTTTCAACATTCCAGGTGAAAGATTCAGGGTGAATCAAATCACTAACCTTCAAGTCTTGCTGGTCCTTTGGTGCAGGGCCTATAGGTCGGATGCTTTCCTTGGC